CAGTACTCATTACATGTATCGCTACCATGCTAAGCCTTCTCAGTGAATCATACAAAATTAGTGACATCTATATTATGTTTTTATCATTAAACCCAAAATCCTTTTGCATATTTCTTAGTTGACGTTTTTTAGTTGGTAATAAATTAGAATCTTAATTCGTAGTGCGTGTGTATCTAGAAAGTGTAGCTCAGAAACAAATGAGTGATACGACACCAATCTATTACACCAGACCACAGATCAATTGATGAACAGCGAAAAAACAAAAATTTTTACGCAATTTGAAAAATTCTTGAAAAACGTGATTATGGTGGATAATGTTTCTCCTGTAGCTCCCTTAAAACTTAAGCCTTTTTCAAAAACCTATAAATATATTCTGAAAGAGGAGAATACGGCAAATTTTTCTATGAAAAAAACTCGATTTCCGATTTTTTTTCGAAAAATCGGGTTTGCTGAGGGGGGGGGTTACCTCCTTAAGGCCCCCCACACCCTAAAAAGTTAATTTCCGTCAAAATTTTCGACTTTTTGAGTTATAGCGTGTGTGATAGAGTAAAATGTCGAACGCACTATGATTTATGCATTTTATGATGAGTTTTCAGGATGCTATATCAGCTTTTCTGAAACCCCCTACACTGTAAAAAAAAACGTAACGGGTGGCGCAAAAGTTTTGCATTAATTTTGTTTTTTTTCGTGTATCACTTGAAAACAGTCTAGGCTGTTCATTCGTTTTTCGTTAGAAGAGCATAGGTAGTAGTGCATATGTATATATCGTTTCATTTGTCACACGTGTTTTTGAGCGAGATGAAGAAGGAAGAACGAGAAGCACTAAGATTACGTGTCGCAACTTTTCATAATGACACTGCTGGTGGTAATATGAAAAGTACATGAAATTTAAAAAAAAAGAAGGCTGTTGTTATTCAACTGTATATCGAATCATCCAAAGATATGTACAGTTTAATTTTTTCGCACTAAGAAAATCTTCGTTAACTAGCGTTGATTTAGCTCCTTTTACATTGATAAATGCGTTCAATTATGGACATGTTTTATTGAGTTAGAAAATATTTCGTTTTGCAATGTAATTCGAGCAAATTCAATTCGAATTAACCCGTTCAATCATGAACATCTTTTATTGAGTTAAAAAAGATTTCGCAAAATGTCAACGGAACCAGTGTTCGTTCCGTAGACTATACGAAGCTTTCATAGTTTTTGCAATTAACTCTTCACCAGTTTATTATCTATGTCAAACTTCCCTATAGCTTAGCAGGAGTCCGAAATTCACTAGTTAGATTTTGTGGAAGTCACATATATTTTCGAAGAAAATGGTGAGTGTAAGTTTATAAGCGAGATTTTTGCGGCTCCCCTCCCCTCCCCATTACAGACATTAATTAGTTTAAAACTGTGCTAATTAGGAGCTTGACTAATTAGGCTGCTATTTCTTCCTTTTTTAATTACAGACTACACGAAAAACGCAATGATTACCCATTACAGACCATAGTAACTAGTTTAGGGTACCATTACAGACCGTAGAAACTAGTATCTGCCATTGTTAAATATACCAGCTAATAATTAATACGCGATTGTAGACATAAGCAAATAGGTAATGACCTAATTATATGTTTTGGAAATCAAGGTAGATTTTTCAGTTGAACTATAGTGAATTATTTTAGTAAGCCGAAGGGATAAATGTGAGTTCCACATTTTAGCCCCAAAGGGGCTGCGCTAACAAGCTTTTTAAGAAAAACTGGACAGATGCATCTTGATATTTTTCAAGCGCCAAATATCAAAAGAGTTTTTGAAGTGGTTGAAGGTTGTCCATTTTTGTTGGCATATTTAGTTAAATCAACTTATAAAATAGATTCTAAATTATGAACTGATATGTAATCTTTTTTACAAAGCATAATTTTGAGGACAGATAACATCTTTTGTTGATTCTGCCCATTGATATAACAAGAAGTTCATAAATTTAAACATATTGTTGGTTCTACAGTAAAAATTTTTGCATTTGTTGAAGATGGAACCCGTTCAATTGATCAATTATTAATTATACTTGAAGTTAGCACTAAAAATCTTGATAGAACATGGTATTCTTTAAATATACCATTTAATTACTCAGTAGACAGTTAGTTTTAGCATAGAAATAGTTTGAAAAGTTCAGTAATTTAACTTTGTTAGTCACATCAGTTTTTATTATCTTCACCAAATTCAAAATATTTATATATACAGGGGAAGAAACGACATATGCGAATAATCTCTTACTAGTCGATAAGAAATTGTTAAACGAAAGGAGACCACCTTTTGAACCCATTAGATTTTGAAAGTCTTGTTGGCTGAGACCCTGACCACGATAAACTGTAAAAGATTTCTTGAAACTTGCCGACTGCTCCTTATGCAATTGTTCCAGTTGCAGATGCAGTTTTCGAATGAAAAATCCTAATTTGGACATCGCTTCCATATCAAGCGATCTTAACCCACAATTAAGCATACCATAGAGAAAAATCTCTTTGGTATACCACCAGACTGCTGATTCCTGGTGGTAGTTACGCTTAAATTCATTTATTTCGTGTTCAGGAATATTTTGTTCTCGGCAAAATTTCACTAAGGTGTTCATCGATTTAGCGTCATCGTCATCAATTTCCAATATAATATCCTTGAAAATCACCGAGTACATGTACGCTGGTGGTAATTGATCAAGATTTTTCTCATTGGACGCTGTATCTGACGTGCATAGCTGCGGAACGAAACTCATCGGGATCGAATCATGATCGCATGCCCGCGTAGCCTTTGCTAATCGTTTACATATGGACTTTATTGTGCCATGAACGCCTTCGACTTTTGACCAATCTTTCGCCCATACTTTGTGTCGATCCTTGTTTATACAGAAAACGAAGATCGTATCAACTTGAGCCATATCGTGTATAAGTGGCACTGTCTTTTGCCCAAACAACCCAGATGTAATTAAAAATATTTTCTGACCATCGATACGTTTTAGGTATTCAATACATTGGTCGACGTCTGTAAATAGATCTAATGTGACAACAATCTTTCGAAGCTCTACAAGAGACTTTTGAAAATGTTCCTTTTTCTCATCGATATTGGCATCGAGCCATACTACAAGGTAATTTTGTACGATTCTACTTCGTCGTGCTCGTAAAGCTGTCGAGGAAGCTGCAGCAGTAGTGATAGTGGTAGTAGTTTTTTCGGTGTTTTGTTTGGAGGTTGTTGATTTTGTTTTGGTATCGTGTCCAGAACTAGTGACACTACTGTCTGCACCTGATTTCTTTTTGTCACTATGTGCGATATGGCTATCGCCGCTTACTGCGCCGGATTTCTCGTGTCTACTATGTTTGGTATAGCCAGCACTGCTAGCTGTAATTGGTTTTTTCTCTGTGTTGTGTCCGAAATAATCAGCTTTTCTGGGTATGTGTGATTTTTTGGTATCCATACGGCACGAATTTACGAAACTTTACTACAGTGATAAAAAATCAATTATTGCATTGAATAAATAAAAAGAGTTCTTTTAGGTGCGGCTGCATTATCAGCGATGAAAACAATTAGACCCACAATCTGTTCAACTCGCCATCCAACATATCTAACTCTCTATTGCATACAAACCTATGAAGCTGCTCATATTTTATTTATCTCTCTCATTTGATAATAATTTCAGACAAAAAGAATCATTTTCTAATTGATAGCTCATCAAGTTCTTCACTATCTACCCAAATTTAACTTAAGATAAAACGCTTAAATTTTATTTGAGCCAAACTTTGGCAATACTCACATCCATGGAATTCGAGCAATCAATATAAGGAAAGCACTACAGAGTTCAAACTATATTGAACGTTGTATCGAATGATAAATATTCACAATTTTTTATTTAAAAACAGAAGATAAGCATGCTTCGATATTGCTAATATCTTAATCATAAGACTAATTGATAGTTTTCATCCTTTTGAATTAAAGTTTCTTTTGAATAGATTCAGCATTATATTCTATCTATCTCTTAAATCAAAGGAATGTTAAAAAGAAACTTCAACAAATAACTGCATGTAGAATATTTAATTCTTTATTGACAACTAATATCTTCAGGTTAAAAATCATTCATAATAATTTTTCTATATTATCTATAAACAATCTCATTTGAATAAAATGTACTTACAAAGTGAATTGTGTTGGAGAGTATGAATTATTTTTTCTGGTATGTTTCCAATGACTTGCACACCATATTTGTCGTCGACGAAATTACTTGGTTTTCTCCCACTTATTTTTGTCTACGTGAATCAATGGACCGTGTCATTTTCAATAGACAAGCAGTATTTTTTCATATGTGCGTTTGTCACTGTGTGGGTTTTTTCTCTTTCAATCCTGTGCCTTTTTTTGCTTGTTTTTCAATTTTATTTTGTCATGATCAAAACAAAAATATACGTTGACATATAAAATAAGTCACCTTGGAATCTCGAAGTTTCTTTTTTTTATGAGTAAAAGAAACCTTGATTGTTTGATCGTGAGGGTATGAGTGTGGGTGTTCATGTTCTATTCCATGAATAATATCCGTACACCCACACACACCCCAGGGGTACCCCTACCATTCCACCGTTGGGAGGGTGTAGAAATTTTCTCCTCCAAAATTTTAGGCTCAGGGCTGTCGCGAGAAAGCAAAAATTGGGGACGGGGAGCTTATAAAATCCTACTTTCCAACAATGCTGAGGGGAATAACCACTATTGCCAGATCTTCCACGATTATGAAAGCTTCTGCATTTTCCCAATGTTTTTGAACTTTTTCTAGACCTTTCTGAATTATACCTGATCTATTCCGATTTTTTTCTGAACTTTCCTGGATTTTTGAGAGTTTTTCTAGATTCTTCTACATTTTTCGAAAATTTTCCAAATTTATCCTGATTTTTCCCGGATATTTTTCTGTGTTTTCCTCGTTTTTTTTGATTTTTTGAGGATTTGAGATTAGCATTCTGGATTTTCGAGTTCAACATCTAATAATACTGAGAATAACTTATAAAATCATGCTTGAGATAGTATAAGCTTCATTTTGTGAAATACAATGTAAGACAATTTTTCGAACATTGAAGGGAAGGAGCCTTACACTCCCGGTAGCCCC